AGTTATATTGTTAACACATTAAAGGCGGGAGTCGTAGTACTACGATTTATCTCGACTTCTCATAAATATGTACTTTAAAACATTTTTTGTAATTAGTGTTTAGTTCTTTTTTAATATTTCTTCTAGTTTTAAGAGTTTAAATAAACTTTTTTAAGTCTAAATTTTTTTATAAAATATCGCCCGCTCTAGGACGAAAAACGAGGCGGGGCGGTCGCCGCGTTACCTAGCATACTTTCGTCAAGATCCCCCGCCTTTAATGTGTTAAGATAAGTCTGTATATTGTAAATCGATGTGAAGACAAAAGAAGTGTGAAACAATGCATATGACATGATCATTTGATTCAAAAGATGACCGAGTGAGCTACTGGAGTAAGCCACTATAGTGGCGCGTCGTTCAGAGAGATGACATCCTTGGAAGCCACTATAGTGGCGCGTCGTGCCTAAAAGGTTAAATTCCCGGTCTTTGAATTCTTGAATCTTTCAATTCTTGACCACATGGCTCTTTGAATTCTTGAGCCACTGGATCTTCGAATTCTTGAATCTCTGAATCGTCGAATTCGAAATCTTACATTTATCAATAAATACCAAATAAGTTCCTGAAAGATACACGACTGTGTATGCATGAATAAGTTCGTATAGCGTGTCATAATCCACTAGTTTCTTCTTCGTGTGGAACTAGAGAACTGGACAAGCCACACGGTTCTGTTATGTTTCACGGGGAACATAAGCGAAACAGACAACAATCACATTTGATGAAAGAAAGACTGTGCTACATGAACGTAAATATGGTAATCGAATCAGTCATACTAACCTAGATACGATTAAAAACATGCTGGCTTGCATCGGCGCCAGAGGGATACCGTCGAAGAATGCGATCTCGTTTAATGAACATAACACGACTGTATATCCCCGTCGTAAGTCCTCTAGCGTACACTTTATTTATAACAAACACATGAAAACGAGAAACACGAAAACTCTCGCGGCAAGCATCGACACCCGGGTAACACGTCGTTCGCACTTTATCACATTGGTTTCTTCTGTGATTATGCGCCGTCGGCTGGAAATTAACATACACCGAGCGCGTGACATCTGTGTGCCTCGCATTTATCTGAATTTCAATGGTTCCGAGAAAAGGACACGGACTATTTTTACGTTAGACAAAGAAACGATTATCTGCCGCGTACACGCACGACTATCAAAGTCGGCCGTCTCCGGCCAGGCTGAAGAAAAAATTCCGATCGTAAGCGATCACCATCGAATGGTAACTTAGACAGGTTTTTAGGTTATGACGCCGATCGCTCTTTCTTTTCGCGGTTCTAACGGCAGCAGCAAAAATGCCGACAGCGCCGTTTTAACAAGCGCATTTGCGTTTACAATGAATACGCGGAAAAGGAATAGAACAACAATATAGCAAGGTTAAGATCGCGTACTCATTTCCGTATTTTTCGTCACGTCGTGTTGTTGGACTATTACAAGCGTACAGATCCAAAACAAACAAATTCCTCTCGCACGCACATGTTTCGCTCGTCTACTGTGTGTAGAAAATTAGTTTCAACGTTAGATCAAAATATTACGAGATAGCAAGAATATCTTTTATCAGGAATTACACAATGTATTCCTTTGGACATGTCGCTAATTTACTTCAAGAATGACATAACTTAAGCGTAACGGTTCCGACGAAAAGCGAGTTTCAATGTTCCAATTTCTTTGTAGCATACAAAACAATATTATTAATATTAATAATATAATAATATATTTAATTATAATATATATTTATATAATATATTTAATTATAATATATATTTATATAATATATATTAATAATATATATTTAATATTAATAATATTAATAATAATTATTTAACTAATATTATTAATAATAATATTGTAGCATACAATAACATACAATAATTATTTGATATTCAGTATTACAATTGCGCACCCACCCTTGACGCGCCCATTACTCCAATTTACGGTACCAACGCCAACGTGAAATGCACTATTGAATCAATAAATATTTAACAGTACGTTGTTATTGCCGTTAAACGGAGCACTTAAGTGTAAACCATAAACATCTACGTTTACATACAAATCAGCAATGCAGCAACACGTGACACTGCATCGGTGACATAGATGCTTCGCGTACTAAATTTTGGAAACCGCCCCCATGAAAAACATAAGCAAGAACTATTTTTCCTGCATTGATAAAAATCGGAAGTTATGCATGCTTAATTACGCCATTGTTGCGGCAACGGAGCATATCACTCTGATGAGAATGCCACAAAAATCAAATGAATGCAATCTAGGTATTTTCATAAAATGATATTAAGTAGTTGTTCCAGAAGTCGCGCAATTCTAATGTTAAACAGTTCAAATAAACCGCCGCGAAGTGTGAATAGTCACGAGAGCTCGCTCTTTGGCCATAGAATGGAATTATTCCAAAGGTGCTCGCGTCGGTATCGCGAAGAAGAGACATGTGTATCGAACGTTAATGACAGGATCCGTACGGCGTGTTTATGTGTGTAGGTACGGGTCCAAACGAATGGCGGTCCGTTCAAAAGGAAGAAAAGAGAAATCGTCGGTCTCCCGCCCAACGGTCCTTCCCCTTTGTGCGGCCACCAGTTTTACCGAATACTAACGTGGCGCTGCCCAAATCCATCAACCAATGAATTATGGTCTCACGTTTTCCACAATCGGTACGAACTGTACCAAATATTTCCTGTTTGCTTCCCTGTCTCTTCAACAGGGAGAGAGCATGGAGAACAAACATAAAAGAAGAAGAGCAAATAAAGCAACCGTAAAAAGAAAGACGAGAAAAAGAGATCGAAAAGAACACGAGATACACGGATAGGAGCGAGAAAGAAAGAGAGAATCGTAGGAAACGCGATTGCGTCAAATACGCACTCTTTCGCATACACATGCGTTGTGACATGCGCGCGCGCGCGCGCGCGTTCACGCGTGACACACTGAAATCATTTCAAAAGATCCACACACTTGTCCACGATAGCAACGAGATAGGTCGTGACTATTGTAAGCTTGAAAGAAAATTCTCTAGGGGATCCTATGGGGCCTGATATCCCATACGGAGCTTCTGCTCCCGGCGTTCTACACTCACCTTCTTTTCTCCTTGTGTCTTTTCTCCTTTCTCGGCGGCTCCATGATAATGCTGGCAATCCTGGAGACACTTTTTCTGTTTTTGATGACACTACACCCCGATACACTCTCGGTCACTGCCAAGGAACGTATCCAGCGTGCACTATCCGCCACGGAAATCGTTCCGACGATTCTCTAGATCTTAATTGTCTATTGCGCTCTCTCCCTCTTTTTCTCTCTCTCTCTCTCTCTCTTCCCTCCCTCTCTTGCTCTCTTTCTATGCCCGTACTTTGCTTGCACGAACTCGCCTCGACGTTCTCTCTGTCGCCGTTATCGAGGAATCGTCGCACCGATGAACACACTTTTTTCACACGCGACACACACCGAACGCGATATACTTTAGCTGGCTTCGTACCGTTAACATCTCAAAATGAAACCGCATCCTGCCACTATCCGCATGAAACGCGCGACGAACGCCAAACTCATGGTGTGATGGCGATGCGATGACGATGACGATGGGTGAGAGGTTAGCGTGGTGGTAGTGCGCTTCGTTACAATGGTAGTGGTGGTAAACGACCGCGGCCTAGTGGTGGTGGCGGAGCTTGCATACACAAGATCCCGGCTGTCCAATGGGTTGGGACGGGAGGGGGAAATTGACGTCACGACGATTTTGTCCCATCTTCCTTGTAGTTAACGCCATCGAACGGCCCAGGCGTCAACCAGCTCGAGCAACAAGATATCGGGCCGCGTGGATGCCAAGCGTCAGAAATCGGACAATAAACCCCGACGGTCCCGTTATCTATTTACTGCTAGCGATCACCAACCCCTCTTTGGACCACGTTACAGAAAATTTTTACGAAAATTTTAGATCTAACAAATCTGGAACTGGTTTTGCATCTCGGTCAATGGAAGGTCGTTCCTATACGGGGTGAACAAAATATTTTGAATACTTTGAACATGTTACTTGTTTTTGATAATATGACACAATGTCAAAATTAAGGATTTTCTTAGTTTCAAACGTTATGATAAACAGAAATTGTTTCCCAAGGTTATATTTTTCGTTAATTCAAAATCATCGATTTCTGCATTCAAAATCACGGTATTATTGATCTTTGGATGTCTCAATTCCAACTGTTGCGCCGTAATGAAATGAAAATTGCTAAAAGTATGAACTCAGAAAAAAGTTTCTATTTATCATAAATGGACCTTCAAACGGGGCAATGTTTTCCTTCGATATATTTTCGTATTATCAAAAAGAAGTCAAATATCCAAAGTGATCAAATTGTTTTGTTGACCCAGCATATATTGTACGCACTGAACTCGAATTCGTTTCTCAGGCATTTACGTCGTTTTTCTCTAGTTTTTAATTTTTATAAATCTTGTGTGCTTCAACCATAAATGTTCAAATCGTTTTTAAAGGTTCTACCAAACGTCAACAATTAATTCGTTTAAACTAAGTTTCCTAATAATTGAAAGTAGTCTCAACATTTAGTTTCCGATTTCTGTTTCGGTGCCTCAAAGTCGACAGTGGTTTGTTGGTCAATAAAATGTAATTGATCATTGGAGCAACCGATTTCTGAATTAATTATTACATATACGAGCTAATCTATGTAGAATCGAACGAGAAAAGTTATCTAGAAACGATGAGTCAGAAGGCGCGCAAATGGGGGTTGATCCATGAGTATGAGAACTGTTTGCTCGTTATCTTTTATCAGGTAAAGCGAGATATCCACACAGCCGTTGAAGGAGACGTAATATAACATTCAAATGTATTCATTGCACGCTCGACGCAATCCATTTTGCTTTTCAAACGAGGGATGGAAAAAGGGAACTGTCTGCTCATCGCCCCTACCGACGATATCGCGAACTTCGTTCCACGTAAGGTAAGGAACGCAAATATCAGCGGGATAATATTTACGAATACTTTATTTCGTTCAAACATAGTTTCCCATACAATCTATGCATTATGTGAACTATAGATATCCTATATACCATTAAGTCCCGATAGAAATTTGCTCTAAGTGCCATTTAACGCGATCGTGTCACCGACGTTTGATTTCATAGCGAGATGGCGATCGTTCAATGAACATTAGCACGTCCTATACCTATTTTTGTACTAGATGGCTCCGACCTCTCTTCCCTTTTCGATTCTAATTTATCCTTCTGGCCTGGGAATTTACTGGTATCTTGTGCATCTATGACATCCTGTTCCTCTTCTGCGTCCTTCTCGAAATCATCTATGTTTGTTTCCTTGTTACCATATAGCGCTGGATATTGCTGCATGCACAATTGCATGGTTTTAAATGCTTCATAGCAATCCGAACCTTTCGGGTCATCATCCGAGTAATGAAAACACGAAAAGGCTTCCCTGAATTCTAATCCACATGGTCCAGTCGCCATGCCACCAAGACAGGGACAATTCCAGTTGATCTCTCCATTTGACAAGAGCAGACCTGGACTCGGTTCTAGCTCTGGGAGGTCTATCTTGCTAGGTGTCGCATGATCCTCCTTGGACGCGAATATAATAGTATCTTTCCCTTCCTTATGAGTTACTGGCATAGTTGATCGATCGATACAATCATACAAAAAATATACAATGTTTCCTCAGAATGAAAAGGCACTAAGGATTAAATAAACACGTCTCTAGAAATTAATGCTGATAATTTCTGCTATCCACAGAAAATGATAACAAATTTGCTGTAGCGCGATGAACTCTATAAATACATTGCTCTCCTTCGTACCTTTCGGCAAGTGACAGAGCTGCCCTTAGGCGTACATAACAGTCATCCGTGCACCGTAAGACAAACCTGCAGTCTTCCGGATCAAACTTTAAAATATCAATGGCACACTTGGTTCCTTCTTCTCCGAACAATTGTCTTACAGATTGCAGGATATTCTTCTTCAAATATACTCCCGATACTTCGCGATTAGGGCAATCTGGTAGCTCTCTGAAAACAATAAATGACGTAAGTGCAACATGCATTACAACATACTGACGTACGATACTTCTAAACGATTTCAGCGTCTGTCCTCGTGATGATCACTAAAATTAGGATCGCAATCGTTTACGTAAACTTCCGAAAAAAACAAGCGAGAGAGCAAATGAGGAACTATTTCGTAATGTTATGATATGCTGGTGAACAGCTAAAGACGGTAATGTCGATAAAGATTGATTCTAAACAATTTCTGTGCCGAATTTATCGGATCTAGTGATCTCTTAGTGGTTCTTAAGAAACGTTTGCTCTTAATTTAACCTATATCTATTGACCGTACTCGGGTTATAGGTTAGGTTATGCGTGCACGAACAAATATCTTAAAAGAGATTGAATGTACTAACAGAGAAACGTCTAAGTAATACATAGTACACGGAACACTGATTCGCGACTCACTTTGAACATTCGCGGTTTTAATACAGCACTTTTAATCGATGCTACATGTGAAAACTTTTGCGGCATTTCATTCATGCCTTCATGATAGAAAAAGCAGACAACACCATGCACGATAGACAGGTGTCGCTTCGATCCGCATATGGTAACGGCCTGCACAAGATATATATTCGGTCATATATAAATCACTAATAAATTTTAACAAATACTCGACTCGTCAACGATTGCTACGTTACAAAAATTGAAACTATTAAAAATATAGCGTCTTTCTAATGTGTCGAATGACAGATTCAAATGAAACTTTCATTTTCTGGAGAACGAACAATTCAAATTTGCCGCCAGAGTGTCGAGATATTTAAAGGTCCTTACATCAGCTACGATTTATTTGAAATTATCAATTAGTTCATTATAAATACTGCTAGATCTATAGTACGAGAGAGAGAGAGAGAGAGAGAGAGAAAAGGGACTTTTTTTGAGATTATGGTTCGTTAAATATCGCAGGTAGAATATATTCATTGGAAATTCCCCTTTAAGCGACGACCAATAGGATCGCTGAGTTTTTAGGAAGTTCCTCGAGGTTAGAGCTATAGTGGGGAATGGAGGCGATCGATAGACCAGCCTTTATCCTGCCTAAATCCTGCGAGACTAGGGTGGACGAGGGGCTTATCGACGTAATCCCTAAAGTTATTGTGCGTCTCTATATAATCGATCGCCGTTATTCTTCCACGATTGTTCACCGTCAAACGTTGAAACGTCCCATTTGCACCGGGTCCGAACCCTCGGCCTTATCTCCGGGCTTCTTTCCCAGGTACCATACGTTTTCCCGTGGTTTCCCAAATTAGCATCGTTCTTCGCGTATTAGCACCCCGTCCGGAATAACCTGATCTGTACTAACACGGCCAGGGAATAGAGACCCAAGGCATCGTAGAAAAATTCGTTGTTGCTGGAAGATTCAACATTGTTCGGGGCCGGCGCAATAAGCGCAACTTCTTCGCGCAAGGTCAATGCCAATGTCAACAACGAAGGTTAAAAGCAGCCGCAAAGGAAAACTATACTTTCACCGGCGATTCTTGGGAAAAATCTCGGAGGTTCGCGAGAACGGTACCGAATTTCGGTTTTCCATAGCGCAGCATTGTCGTGCATTTAATTCGAATTGCGTTTTCATTGTCGGCAGAGGACAAAGAAGGAAAAAAGAAGAAATATGGACGGTGCATTGTGCCTGGCATCTAGGCTTTTCCCGATATCGATTGAAACGAGAGAGCAAGGACGGAAACGAATTCATTTAGCGTGCCGTGTCTCCCGCTTTCGGCAGTCGGGAACATCTGGCCTCCTTTTATCGTTCGCGACTGATTCTGACAAGTCCGGGGATACATTCGCGAAATAGAATTGATACTTCGGTTACCTGGACCCGAAGGCGTTGCTCGGATCGGTTGGCCGAGCTCGGAGACCGGGCTACCCGAGACGCTTGTGCTTATCCTTTTCACTGTTCCATGTGGGCCCTGTGTACAAGGCCCAACCAGTGGCGTAGCTATCCGGGAATGTGGAGGGGCGCAGCGACCTCCAATCAACCCCGACGAATTTTATTTACTGTCATAAAGATCATTTTCTTGCAGAAGATAACGGCAAAGAAAATCATTCAGATTTTCTGTCATCAAGAGCTCTGCTGCTTTAACAAACTTCCCGTTCTGTCAAATTACAAATATTTTATTTTCACAGATGCATAGATTTTTGCGGCTTTATAAACCTATCTTCGAAAATGCCTCGGCACTTCCAACAATCAAACAGAAACGATTAACTGTCAGGGTAAGCATTGCCGACGTCGAGGAATATTCGGTTTAGGCATACGACAATGTTCGGTGCGCGGCAATACATAAGCTCCGAATACAGTTTAACGTAGATAACAATACACCATTCAGAGGTCCGTCGAAACAATGACAGATCCTCAAGGCTATTGATCCGGATAGGAATTTCTGGGAAAGGGACGGCTCAAGGTAGACAATCGCGAGCCAAAATAAGTAAGATGTCATTGATGGATTCTAAATGATTAATTCCGTCGAAATACCACAAGGAAAAGGTCGCATTGGCGTGGGGCACGACGGTCTCCGAAATATGCTCCTCGGAATCCTGGAGATTTCTCGAGTTAACGTGAAAAATGCCAACGGAACGTATATCAAAATCTCATGCCGGCGAAAATACGCGTTCCGACGATGTTCGTGAAATTAATACTCCTTCGAAGTCGATGGGCCGAACACGCTGACGCAAAAATTCGCTTCTGCATCTCGACGCGAGCGACGAAAAGCCAAAGATCCAAAATATTTAATCCCCGGTAATTCCTTTTGGCAAGGGTTCCGCAAAAAACCGTATAATCTCGAGGGTTCCGTGAGTCGGCGAAGATTCGAAGACGCATTGGCGTAGGAGGGCGGGGTGCCTCGGTTGTCCAACGCTGCTAAAAGATCGTTCCAGGAACCGTGTACCCATCGTGGAAGTTCCAATAGACGGCGGGCCGAGTATCGTCCGGTGAAAATTGACGTGTGGAGCGAGACCGTGGACAGGGGGGAACGGAAAAGGAAACGTGTTTTTCGTTTCGAGAAAGGCTCTCCGTGTTAGCGAAGCCCGTGGCAGCTCGCGGCACGCTAAAAGGAAATCGCAGGGTCGTGCGAAAATTTGCAGCTCGGGGAACGGATCTCGGGCGCGTCGGGCAGACTCTCCACGCCTTGTACTCCTCGGAGAGGCTGCACCCGGCGAGATGCAATCGAACCGCAGACTTCTTTCATTTAAGGAGCGCGATCGATGACGCGATGCGCTTGAAACACGCGCAAGTGTGCGTCCCGGCCTCCGACGTATTCCGCGTACGTACATAGTACATATCTCCTCCTACCGTCGTATCAATCGTTTTAAGACGGCCGTTCCTCTAGTTTCGTCGTATCGACGCGAGTCGCAACGGGCTACGCCCCATGGCCTTTTAGTTGTCATTCTCTTATTAACCCGCTGCACTGCAAATTTATCGACAGATGCCTGTGACGATACCTTCGAAAACAATTATTTACAAGACTATCTAGTTTCTTGAAAGCAGGGTTGTAGACAAATTTTTATCAACGATTGACGATTAATTTCATCGATCGGTTATTTCAATCGCTGATTTTGCGATGATTAATCTTTTTAATTGTAAACAGTAATCGATGAAGCAAAGTAAAAATTTCTTATTTCTTAATGCCCAATTCTGCTTCGAGGTCTTCGTTAATAATGCTGTACAGTGCAATGAACTTCGACGCGATGCAAAATGTACGATGCAACGAGACATTTGGTTTAAACTAGTTTCATTATTTATTTAGTCTCTTATTCGAATTAATCTTTTTCCTTATTTTTATTCTCAAGCTTTTGTGGGTTTGTTTAACTTTGCAAGTACATATACGGTTGCAAATGCAGGATACGATACAAACAGTCCTGCTTCAAAGATAACTTTGTGAAATAATTTATTCCGTTGTATTAGTTTCATACCGTGTTCTTCGAAAATAAAAGTAATATCGACTCATTTGAGATAAAGCGATTTCAAATAATAAACAATCTCGTTAGTTCTTTATTTCATATTTGCCAAAAGAAATAACGCTGAAAATAGTAATGAACAAAAAGATTTTATTTTATAAAATTTTCGCAACAATGCTCTCTTCGCTAAGAAAAACAAACCGCAAAATAATAATCAATTAGAAGATATTATTTTACGACATCTTCGTAAGAATTTGTTTAACGCAAAAAGGTGTAAATCAGTCCCAAACATTAAATTTAACTTCATAATTATTCCAAATAATCATTTCAAACTATTATCAAATAAAATAACATGTTACTTGAAATAATATATCAAATAATGTTACTTAAGAGGGGGGATTACGGACANCTACTACTACTATACTACTACTATAGTATACTACTACTACTATACTACTACTATAGTATACTACTACTACTATACTACTACTATAGTATACTACTACTACTATACTACTACTATAGTATACTACTACTACTATACTACTACTATAGTATACTACTACTACTATACTACTACTATAGTATACTACTACTACTATACTACTACTATAGTATACTACTACTACTATACTACTACTATAGTATACTACTACTACTATACTACTACTATAGTATACTACTACTACTATACTACTACTATAGTATACTACTACTACTATAGTAGTATATGTATATGTCTATAGTATAATATAGTATAATAGCATGTTATTTGAAACGATATATCGAATATGTAATGTAATTTCAAACACGCTCAGCTACGAACACAAATGAGTGCATAAATTGCAATCTTGGAGGAAAGAATGACTACAAATACAATCATCGAGGTTAGGTTTCATCGCGAACGTGCCTATGCGAGAAGGAAGTTGTAAATTAAGCAGAGATCTCCTTAATTTAGGTTTCTCTGAATTGCGCAACTCGACCGCGCGGTGTATATACATATATTTAAAGCAATAGAAAGATTACAAGGCTTTTGTTAAATCGATTACAGGAAGAAACGCGTATTTGGCTTCCTGTCGCAATCGACCGAGAAAATGTTAGTTCTGCACGCAAAGATTTACAGTCTGCCAATTACGACTTTTTTGCAAGTCTCGCCCGACAGGATTGGTTCGCGAGCGACTCCGTGACGAACTATTTTGTTTATTCCGCGTTTTTCGGGGTCGGGAACGCGGTCGCGCGGCTCACGAGGCAACAATAATTCCATATATCGAGGCTCGGTTTAGAAGCGTGTCATCGAATACAATGGAAGACTAATGACGTCACGGCAACTATAGCACGGAAAGCGGCGTGTTCGCCGGAATATCATGAATAACAA